GCCTTCGCTGCTACTTTTTGTAATTCTTTAATGTTGAAATTTCATATAATTAAAATGGATTGATTTTATAGTCAGAAAAAAAAATTAAGCCACATTAAACTAAGAGACAACTTTTGAAGATGTTACTATTTACGAATAGAAACAATAGAAGTTTCAGCCTCTGAGGCTTAGCGATTTAATAATTAGTTGTGACTGTTAAAATGTTTTCAACTCATTTAGGAATATTTACCTCAGCTTCCAGAAAGGGTTTGATTTCGTTAAACATATCTACTTTCAAAAAAGTTTGTAATCTTCTCCTCAGTTCTAAGAGATTGTTGCTTGCCACTTCAAACAAGGACAAAAGCATTTTCCCCCGAACCAGCTAAAAAAACCTTATTTCACTAGTTTTTCCAGTCCCTTCACAGGATGGGAAACTGTTCTTTAAAAAGAGAAATGGGTTGACAGCAGATCTGTGTTGCCTGGGGCCATGGGTGGCAGAGGGGACCAATCGGAAAGGGGTACATGGGAACTTGTTGGGGATGATAGAAACGGATCTTGACTGAGGTGGAGGTTACATGACTATATACGTTTGTCCAAATCCACCAATGTACACTTAAAATGGGTGAATTTTATTGTATGTAAATCATACCTCAGTAAAGCTATTTTTTCAATAGCTTTAAACTTAAAGTAAACTAGTACTTTTTGGGTGATCATGTACATGAATATTCTAAATTTTGTAACAATCAGGAGGATTCTCTTTTCAAAAGTCCTTAAACTAGTTATCAAGCGATGTGTTAGATTGAAAAGCTAAAAGGACTTTATGTACTTAAATGCCATTTTAATCTATTGGAAGCTAGCATAAAAAGAAAACAAATACATTTTTTTAATTGCAGATTTTTATTCTCTAATTCTTGTAGTTCTTTTTTTTAATTTCCCTTAGAAGGGTGACATCTTCATTCCAGTATCGATATTTTGATTAAGACAAATATCCACATATTCATTAAAAGTTTCTCTCCTATAGAGGAATTCAAAATTTTTTTTTGATTGGTGCTAGACTCACAGACAGACAGAAATAAGCTGCCATTCTTCTATTTGATAGCCAGACGCTGCCAGTTGTAGCCAGGGCAGTCCTGCTGTTAAATTAGGTCTAATGAAGGAGTAATTGCTTTAGATATAGTGAACCATTTCAAAGAAAACAAGGATTCTAATTGATTTGCAATTTGTTTGGCACGTTGCATTGTCCACAGCTATTGATTAGTCTTCTGGATTTCACACTGCATGTGTTTCCCTTTATTAAGGGAATAACAGGTTACTGATTACTTTCTTTCTGGGTTTAATGTAGCGGTTAATGTCTACTTTGTTCTTGTGTCATGTCACAGGCGAGGAAGGAATAATAGGCAAGTGGGTGGCCCTTTGCTAAGCAACTTCCCTGCTGTTCAGAGCTGTGTGCTCTGAGACAGGCTGAAAAGCAGATCAAGAGAAAGGGTTAGAATAGCAGGACTCACAAGTTAGGGCCTGAGTCAGGCTAGACCTGGCTCGAAACTTGGCTTTCCCCTCCCAGTCAAAGCATAGCATGGGACTAAGCAGCTGGTGGTAGATTTGTTCTTGTATCATTCGATTATTTGTAGACAGGATATGAATCTGTGCCCATTGTTTTGTTTAATAGGTATGCATACTAAATGGGTGCAGAAAAAGAATATTTGAGGTTGAGGCCTTTTGGTTCATTTAACCCTTTGGAAAGTGACATTTTGTTGGCACCTGGGAAGCACTTGTTGCTGAGGTGTCGATATGATCATCAAAATGGCTCTTATGTTTATACCAACTGCAGGGGAGGGAGAAAAAGTTCTCAGGGTTGCAGTCATTTCATTGCCCTCAAAGCACAGCAGGAATTATTAGCTTACCCTGGTGTGCCCCTTTGTTTTCCTAGGGCTTTGCTCCTCCAGCAGATACTCATTTAAGGCGAATCCACTGCTTTCTGAAATGTGTTTTGCAATGGTGCACAGAACAGGCACTCACTTAGCGGATCTAATCCTTTCACCGCTCAGCTTGTTAATGTAGCCAACTGCTGAAAATGGGAAATGGATTCTTTAATGAGACAGGTCCCTTCGTGGCTTTATTCTCCTAGTCCAACCCCCAGGCATTCATTCAAGTCGCCCCTTCCCTCCAAGCCAGGATCAGGCACCTCCACTTCCCACCCAGCAAGCAACCCATTTTCCAGCACAGAGTCCCCCACCTCTAGGCCCCTTGCCTCCCCACCACCTCCCAAGAGCCCTTGGAGACTCACAAATAACAAAGGGGTGTGGGCGGTGAAAGGTTCTCCTTTCTCTGCATCAGTCACCTCCTTCCTAAGCCACAGCCCATCCTTTCCTGAACTCCTAACATCATCAACAAGGTTAGAGAGAGGAGTTACATTCAGAGTAGCAAATGCACAGGGATAGCCTCTAAACTTTTCAAATAAACACAATTTTTATATACTACCCAAGACATTTAAAGATTTAATATTTTTAATGAATTCAGTTTTTGTGCATAATGGATTTTATAGTGATCCCGATTACAAGCGTTTAGAATGCAGCCAAGCAGGTAAACCTGGGCTCTGGTCTTAAAATTCTTTTTCTCTTACCATTTTTGAGTCTTGTGAGTCTTCCTGAAGCCTGTGTATTTCTCCTCCAGAAGTTTCACTGCCCACCCCCCAAATTTTTTAAGCAGGTAAAATTCAGGTTAAAAGAAATGTTAAAGACAATTTGGAAGTCATGACAGGATAGTCTGCAGTTTGAAGTATGCATTTCGAAGAGAAAATATGGATAGTTCCACCTGTTTTGCTTTGAAGACAGTTGACTTGGGGAAGTGAATTATATATACATGAGTTCAGATCTTCCTTTAGTCTGAGTTCTTAACCTTTTCTCATGTGTGCCATGGAATCCTTTGGTAATCAGATGAAACTTGTGGATTTCTTCTCAGAATTATTCTTTAGGGCCACCTTGGTGGCTCAGACGGTAAACTGTCTGACTCTTGATTTCAACTCAGGTCATGATCTCAGGGTGGTGAGATCCACACCTACATGGGGCTCCACATTGGGCATGGAGCCTGCTTGGGATTTTTTTTCTCTCTCTCTCTCCTTCTGCCCCTCCCTACCCTCACTTGTGCTCTCTCTCCCTCAAAAAAAAGAAAAGTTTCTTTAAATTTATAAAATAAAAAACCCAGGATTACAAAGAAAGCCAATTATACTGAAATAAAGTTATTAAATATTTAGAGAAACCAAATTTACATATAGCAGCTCCTTTATTATTTTTTGTTAAATAATTAATTGCTTTAATATTAAGATCTATGGGTATATCTAGCCACTCCTGCAATTTTGAAGTAATAGGGAGAATTAAGTTCTGATTATTACCTATAATAACTTTAATATATCATCTTTAAAAATCTATGATTTCTCTTGATGACACCATCACAGGTACAATAGTTATTGTTTTTTGTTGCCTGAACCAATAATTGAAAGGGGTTATAAAAATAAAGATATATATAAGGTGACTGGGTTGCTCAGTAGGCTAAATATCTGCCTTTGACTCAGATCATGATCTCGGAGTCCTAGGATCAAGCCCTGAGTCGGGCTTCCTGCTCACTGGGGTGTCTGCTTCTCCCTCTGCCTCTCCTCCTGCTTGTGCTCTCTCTCTCTCTCTCTTACAAATAAATAAATAAATAAATAAATAAATAAATAAATAATTAATTAATTAAATAAATTATTTTTTAAAAAGGTGTATATGGGGCACCTGGGTGGCTCAGTCACCTAAGCGTCAGGTCATGATCCAGGAGTCCCAGGATCCAGCCTGCATTGGGCTCCCCACTCAGCAGGGAGTCTGCTTCTCCTTCTCCCTCTACCCCTCCCCCTGCTTGTGTGTACACACACGCACTGTCTCGCTCTTTCTCTCTTGCTCTCACTCTCTCTTGGTCACTCTGTCTCTCAAATAAACAAATCTTTCTTAAAAAGGTATATATATTTTTCCATACAAATTCATGGACTTCCTAAATTCTACCCACAGACCCACAAGACCTCCTGTTGTCTATAGTAATGGCCTCTTCCAATGTTCAATCAGGTGCCCAGCAGCCTGTCATTATAGTTCTAGTAAGAGGAAAGAGAGAAGAAATGAGCACTGGAGATGCCCAGCTGATAATGCCCCAAATCTGAGCCCTCCATCATGAGTATATAAAATTTCATGGAGCATAAATGTCTTCCATGCCTTCCTAGACTATTGCTTCTCCCAGTGTTCCCCATCTATAAAACTCAGGGCTATTGAAGCCAAGGCCATACCCAATGGATACATGATGAGAGGAGAAGCTGGCAAGAGTACAATAGAACAAGCACATGAATCGTGCATCTTTTCATTATATGAGTCTAATTATAAGACACACACTTAAAAAATAAAATCTTCCTGGGTATAGGTAAGATGTGAAAGTAACAAAATAAAAATATTATCAAGGAGAACTCAGTTCACATTTAGTTAATGAAGGTTGGCAGATTTAGCAAATAAAAATACACATATTTCATGGAACAGACTTATACTAAAAATGATTTCTTGTTTATCTGGAATTCAGATTTAACTGGTTGTTCTGTATTTTATCTGAAAATCCTAAATTAACACATTGTATAAAGCAAGTAAATCTAAGTGCAGATTATAATTAAGTGATGTGGGAGGACTTTTGTTTTACTGGCCAAATACTTTGAACTAAATTTAGAAGTGGCAAGTGTTTGGTGATTTGTTTTAAAATCAAAAAGGATTTTCAGGATCAAAAGGGAAGTGAGATGAGAAGCTAAGAGGTGAGGAGGAATGAGGTGAGTCAAAAAGCAGGAGGGATGATAGCTAAAGACAAGCACAGAGAGTCATCCTTGTTGAGAATCCTGGGCAAGTCAGCTTCTGGTGGTACCTACTATGTGACTTCGTCCTCTCCCTGGACAAGCACTCTGCTGTGAATCTTTTGACATGGAGAAACCCAATGTTGCTCAGGCTTCTGCTTCATCCTCACAGGACTTAAAGGAACCAAGGTCCAGAGAAGTTAAGCAACTTACCATCAGCACCAAAGACTTCATGCTTGCCACCATAGCTCACTACCTCTCCAGAAGTCAATACCCAGAATTTTATCCTCCCTACACTGTACATTGCCATATCTCCTGTTTACTGAAGAGGATCGCAACTGTCAGCGCTGGTAGGTTTGTGTCGTATGTCAAAAACTATGAAAGCTCCACTCTCCACAGGCCTTGCCATTGTCCAAGGGAGAGCAATTAAATTAATCAGCTGGAAAGCTCACTTCCTGAGCAGGAAAGAGCAAGCTCAGTCTAGCTCCTTATTAACAACAGCAATGACAATGGAGCAAAGTCCTAACATGATAGCATATCTAAGTCTTTCCTTTATTCCCAGGTCCTGGAAATTTAGATTTGGAGTTTTAAAATTGAGGAGGGCAGCTTCAGATCTTAATAGCTGCCTGTGGACCTGTGTGCTCTGAAATTGCTCATCTCTCCCCATGACGATGCTACATCCCAGAAATATCCGGGGAACCATGTTCTCGAGGTCTCAAGATGAAGACCCCTCACGGCAAGGCAGTGTTAGTCTAATTCTCCTTATGCCTCAGGGCACAAGGGTGAAGGCAACCCCACACAAACTTCAGACTCTCTTTTTGGAAGTCCAGACTTGCTATAAATCACCTAAGATGGTCATGCTCATGTCAGCTCAACCAGGGCCCTGCCTTCCTCTCCAGGAATCACGCCTGTGTTTAAAGCTGCTCCAAGGGAAATCCTCCCTGAATGAAGTCTTCACCATCAGATCTCCTCTTAACTGAGGATCCCATCATCTCATGTTGATATTCAGATATTTCCCCCCTTCGTAGAGGCATTTTCTCTTGCTTTATCACAAGTGGTATCAATAGGTTATTTATATTTTGAACTCTATTGAAAAGAGGATTATACCGGGACATTTAATTTTAGTTAAGAAAATATAGAAATTACTCCCATGTAAGAAAAGCAGTGCTTTAAAATGAAAGAAAATAGTTCACTCCTCGCTGTCACAGCAGTAGCACTGCTAAGTACTTCTAAATTACTCCACTTTGCTATTGTCTGAGGCCCTTGATAAGCATTCTGCATTTTAAGCTTTATCTATTTCTCATCATTAAAAAGCTCATTAGTTAGCGTACTGGTACTTTCTTTACGGTTCACAAATTCAGATTATAACCTTGTGTCCTATAAATGGTGCCACTCATTATATCATCCAAAACACTAGTGTGGAGACATTTAATGGCAAGATTTAAAATTAGATTTCTACATTTAGAAGTGTCATTAAAATACCCTGACGACCCAAAGTTTTTAAAGGGAGACATGAAATCAGTAGAAATGTGACAGGACTGTGCTTCTTACCAAGCTACTACAGCACCTATGATATGTAGCCTGGGATCAACGCTGCCTATATAGTAGCTGAATGAGGATGTATGTATGGAGTTAGTGCATCCAAGCTTAAATTCTTGATGCCAACTTCTTCTTTTCCTGATCTAATAGAAGTAGTATATCCTCTTCCCACAGTAGTCGAATTTTGTAGTGATCTTCCTTCTAATATGATTTGATTGTGAAGCTAACATATCTTAATTTGAACCCAGGGTTTTTGAACATTATTTGGACAATTGATGTACTAGAAAAAGTCCGTCAGTCACAGACTGACAAGCCATGGGCCAGATAGGAAACCAATTACCTTAAGGGCCTTGATTCCACACTCAAGTAACCTTAAGATGCAGAAAATATCCTAAGAACATGGCTGGCCCAGTGCCGAATATCTTGTTCTGACAGTAGGAATTGGGAGGAAAAGAAGAAGGTGGCAAAGAACACATTAGAAAAGTGGAATGCATAGAAAAGACATTGTTCTGTCCTCCTGGCTTAAACCAAGGAGCAGATACAACTTTACCAATCTAAGTTCTAAATGAAAGCAGAAGAAACTAAGCTTCATAAAAACTAGGATTGACACCAAATGAAAAAGAATCAAGAGAACAAACATTACTGAGGGTCCCCAGAACACACACAAAAACATTTTCTCCTCCATGTTCTTGTTTTTTCTATTTGATATTTTGCCCTGGACTGGACATCGTTGATCTCAATGGATCCATAATACATTTATACTGCTGTCTTTCCCTAACGTGACCTACTCAACTTCCAACATCTTCTAATAGTGAACTATCTTATGGTATAGAGGAGTGAGATATTGAGGCTAAAGGATGACAACAGAGCATCTTGGAGAGGGCCAGGGGGTTGGGCAAAAGTAGGAATGGTTCTAGTTGCATACATGTGAGGCATGGCATTCCCCAACAGAAGGCTCTAGGCTGGGTATAAAATTTCTTATGCTGGAGAACTTTAGGAATATGCTTTCTGTCCTGTGCTATACTTGACAAGTAGGCAGATTAGGTGATTTTAACAGGACTAAACTTGACTATCACTCCACTTGTAAAAATTAGAGTGAGGAGAGACCTCCTTTCCCTGGCTGCTTAGCTCCCTGTCCTCCCATTTCCTTTAGAGTGACATTTGACAGTTTCCCTTCCATTAGCCACCTCTGACCACAAGGTAGCATTTGGTTCAATAATTTTTATTCATTCAAGCCTGTCTTTGAGAATCATCCAAGGCCTAGATGGCACCATCCCTTACCCTGTAAGGAGCACATATGATTTACCTTTTCCTAACAGATGCCTCTTTCTTTTCCCTGTCACTCCCCCACTGCCCACTACACCACCTTTCATGTCCACAACCCCCTCTAACTTCCTCATTTAACTTCTATGCCATATTGTGAACACACAGCCCACAGAGACCAATATCAGAATACAGTTGGGAATTCTAGGCTCTATTCTCAACTCCATCAGGCCTGCCTCTGAGAAACCAAACTATTTTCTAACACACTGTGTCTTGGCATCTGTAAATAAAAAAACATAATGGCCTGAATGCTGAATGCTAGTGAGACGTCAGCAGTGAAGAAAGAGTGCCAGGTCATGGATAATGAAGCCTATATGCATGCTCTAAGCCATATAGTTCCTCTATGTAAGCCATAGTTGTTCTTATGGGAACTAAGGGAAGTCCTCTGGTGTGATGTCTCTCTATTAAAACTCATTTTTCCTTAAATGTATTGTTCAACTTTATTGCCTTCATTCTAATGACCTTGCCTTACCACTGGACAGGTTTAGTCTTTCCCAGACTTCATCCTCACATCTTGGCCAGCCTCTTGAGTTGAGGCCAACACCTTGAGATTTTAGCAAAGCATTTTTTAAAAAAAGATTCTAATTTATTTATTCATGAGAGACAGAGAGGCAGAGACATAGGCAGAGGGAGAAGCAGGCTCCCCACAAGAAGCCCGATGTGGGAATCGATCCCGGACCCCAGCATCATACCCTGAGCCGAAGGCAGACACTCAACCACTAAGCCACCCAAGCGTCCCTTAGCAAAGCATTTTTAAGTTGTGGCTCCATGTTTCTCAAAAGTTTTCTTGGTCCACTGTTTTTCAAGAGCCTTAGCTTGAGTGGATGGCTTGCTCTATACCACAGATATGCTGTTGGGGGAGTACAGTACAGTTTTTTGCGGATGGAATTCTGTTTTAAACACAGAAGAGAAGCTCACTATAGCAACAACCTATTTGATAAATTATTTTGTGAGGCAAAAAACCCAACATTTCTATTTAGAAGAGTAGGTTTTCTTAAGACAAGTCATACCTCAATAACCCATCTCTTCTTGCTGCTTGGCAAGGGGCCTCTGAGACTCTGTTAAACTCAGTGGGGATTTGTCCTCTGGATGTTTGACTCCTGCCTGCCTAACTATTCTTGATAGACTCTGTTCATCCAGTCTCCTCTCACTTAAACAAACACAATATGTTGTTGTATGTACTGCCACAAGCTGGGGCCCAACCTCTGACATAGCTTGCTTCCCTGACCTCTTCCTCTAAGTAAGCCAGGCCCTCCTCAGCCTCTGCAGCCTGCAGCCAGTCGGTCCTCTGGCCCAGCTCCCAGCAGATCATCATGTCAGCTGAAGCCCTTCTGAGCCCTGATGTTCAGCTCATGCTGATGTGCAGATAAGGTCTCAGTCCTGCTTAGGAATCCAGCATTTTGCCTCTCCATCACTGCATTTTAGAAGTCAGGGCTGCAGTGGGTGGTGATTCTTTGTGTAGTTCAGAGTTTCTTTGGCCTGCAGGCCACGTCACTTGTTCACACAGTCAGGAGCATTCTGCAGGCCGGCACCACAGAAAAGCACAGTATACATGGTGATGGCTGTTAGCTGGGCTAAGCCTGCATGCTAGAAGGCAGTGTTCTCATCAAGAGGGTGGAAAGGCCCTCCAAACTTTGAAGTCCGAGAGTGACAGGACAAAGCCCAGCCTACACAGACTCTGTGGGTGAGTTAAGAAACCTGACAGGGGAGGATCATAAGCAGTTCTTGTCTGTGGAAGCCACGAAAGTCCATTGACCCATCCTGGCCATCCACTCCTAACTAATCTAATTCCCTGACATCTAATTCCCTGCAGTTGTGAGTGACTCCCTCACAACTGCAGAAAAGCCCACATTTACTGTATGTGTATTTTTCATTGGTTTGTCTGATCGGCAGAATAACAGTCTTCCAAAGATGTCCACACCCTAATCCCTAGAATCTGAGAATACTGTTTCTGTACATGTCAAAAGAGATGTTGGAGATGTGATTAAATCAAGGACCTTGAGATAGAGAGATTATTCTGGATTATTCCTGGTGGGCCAATGTATCACATAGGTCCTTACAAATAGAGAATCTTTCCCAGCCATGTTCAGAAGGAGACATGAACTACAGAAGGATGACAGAGATGCAGTGTTGCTGGTTTTGAAGGGGCCACCAGCCAAGGAGTATGGGCAGCCTCTAGAAGCTGGAAAAGACAAGGACATAGAGCCTTCAGAAAGGACCGCAGCTCTGGAGACTCCTGGATTCTAGCCCAATGAGACCCATTTTGGATTTCTCACCTCCAGAACTATAAGATAATAAATGTGTATTGTTTACGCCAGTATTTTGCAGTAGCTTGTTGGCCACCATAGGAAACTGATACAGTTTGGAAGAGCAGTGTGTTAAAATTGTTGCTGCAATTTCTCTTACTTGAATGCCTTAAGAGCTTTCATCACATCTCCCTCTCCAGGGTTTCTGGAAACAAACGACTCCTCTGCCTTTTAATTTTTTTTTCTTTCACATGTAGGCTAAGGTTTATTCAGGCTTATATTACTGAAAGTCTCAAGCAATATTCTCTCAGCATATAGCCCCTGACAAGAACACTCCTCACAGGATGCTCCATTTTCTGCCGCAGGAAGGCGGGCAGGGTGGAGGGCACTGTGCGGGGGCGGTGACTGCATTAACTGAAGATATGTTCTGGGGAAGAAGAGTGAAAAGAAGATGTTTTGACCAGCTTGACTGTGGCACTTCATCCCTGGAGTTGTTCCCTTGAATCGAAATTGCCGCTGACTGGGCAGTTTTCCTTCTAAAAGCTTCAGGATGACCCAGTGTGCTGCCCTGGGAAAGAAGACAACAGCTCTGAAAGACTCCAAGATTTCACCCCCACTGCTGCGCTCCCCAACGAAGAAAAGTTAAGAAAACAGCCAAATGTGTGCCTCAGAAAAATGCCTAGTCAGGCAGTTGTTTCACCCCTGCCTGTTGAACATTTGGGTCGCCCAATGCAAGTGTTAAAGCTGTGTTCAAACCAGAAAAAATAAAAATAATAAGCTGTCAGAATAATTACTAAGAACATGCAAGGATTATACAAAGTAAACTGCAGCCTGCAAAAAAGAGAATTGCATGTTAGCTAATTGTTAATTTTAGCAATCGCAGTGGCTAATTACCACGGCACACATTGACTATTAGCTTGATGCCCCGGCACCTGCTTTCTCCAATGAACAGATTTCTTCATCGCTAGCACAGGAGCAAAATGTGTAATTATTGGCCATCATTGGGGCGATTTTTCAGTGATTCTTTTGTGCGATGTGAATAAAGCATAATGACATATTTTATTAGAGGGCAAATAGCTGTTTGTTAATGGAAA